TATTACAGCATGAGAGTCAGTGTCAGTCCCGTAATACAACGCCAAAATTCTAGGTCTTTCAAATCTGGTAGGCCTACATATGAAAGAACAGGTCTGCATGGTCAGTGTGCGCAGTACAAAAAAAATTCCTGCAGCACGCAGTGCATAACCAGAAAAAACTCCAACCATGTTTTTGGTTTAAAACAGCAACTTTGCAGTGTACAGTGGACCCTCAACCAGCGATATTAATCCGTTCCTGAGAGCTCATTGTTAGTCAAAATTATTGTTAGTTAATTTTCCCCATAAGAAATAATGGAAATCAAATTAATCCATGCAAGACACCCAAAAGTATTGAAAAAAAAAAAAATTTTACCACATGAAATATTAATTTTAATACACACAAACTGAAGATTACATGCACAGTTACATGACACTTACCTTCATTGAAGATCTGGTGATGATTGAAGGGATGGGAGGGGAGAGCGTTGATCTTCTTAATGTTTAGAAGGGGAATCCCCTTCCATTAGCACTTGAGGCAGCAAGTCTTTTTCTGGGGTTACTTCCCTTGTTCTTTTAATGCCACTAGGACCAGCTTCAGAGTCACTGGACTTCTGTCGCACAACATATCTGTCCATAGATACCTGTACCTCTCGTTCCTTTATGACTTTCCTAAAGTGGTTCACAACATTGTCAGTGTACAGGTTGCCAACACGGCTTGCAGTAGCTGTGTCATGGTGATTTTCATCAAAAAAGGTTTGCACTTCAAGCCACTTTGCACACATTTCCTTTATCTTAGAAGTAAGCAACTTCTTCAATTTCTCTCCCCCCTCCTCCGAAGCAGTTTCCTCAGGTCTGCCCTCTTGCTGTTCAAGATGATCTAGCAGCTCATCAGTGGTTAGTTCTTCACTGTCCTCCACCACCAACTCTTCCACATCCTCCCCACTAACCTCCAACACCAAGGACTTCCCCAATGCCACAATGGATTCCTCAACTGGCATAGGATTCTCAGGGTTAGCCTCAAACCCTTCAAAATCCCTTTTGTCTACACATTCTGGCCACAATTTTTTCCAAGCAGAGTTCAATGTCCTCTTAGTCACTTCCTCCCAAGCCTTACCTATAATGTTTACACAATTGAGGATGGTAAAATGATCTTTCCAAAACTCTTAGAGTCAGTTGAGTTTCTGAGGTCACTACAAAGCACCTTTCAAACATAGCTTTGTGTACAGTTTCTTGAAGTTGGAAATAACCTGCTGGTCCATGGGCTGCAGGAGAGGAGTGGTATTAGGAGGCAAAAACTTCACCTTAATGAAGCTCATGTCCCTAGAAAGTCGCTCTGCCAAGTCTGAAGGATGACCCGGAGCATTGTCTAATACCAGGAGGCACTTAAGGTCTAATTTCTTTTCAATTAGGTAATTTTTCACATTGGGGGCAAATGCATGGTGTAACCAGTCATAGAAAAAGTCCCTAGTGACCTATGCCTTACTGTTTGCCCTCCACAGCACACACAAATTAGCCTTGAGGACATTGTTTTTCCAATAAAGGCTTCACTTTGCAATCACCACTAACAATGGCACACACCAAAAGAGTAAGCCTGTCTTTCATAGGCTTATGTCCTGGGAGTGCCTTTTCCTCCTGAGTAATGTACGTCCTGCTTGGCATTTTCTTCCAAAACAGGCCTGTTTCGTCACAATTAAACACTTGTTCAGGTTTCAGTCCTTCACTGTCTATGTACTCCTTGAAGTCTTGCACATATTTTTCAGCCGATTTGTGGTCCGAACTGGCAGCCTCACCATGCCTTATCACACTATGAATGCCACTACGCTTCTTAAATCTCTCAAACCAACCTTTGCTGGCCTTAAATTCACTCACATCATTAGTTGTTGGCATTTTTGTAATTAAATCGTCATGCAACTTCCTAGCCTTTTCACATATGATCGCTTGAGAGATGCTTTCTCCTGCTATCTGTTTCTCGTTCATCCACACCAATAACAGTCTCTCAACATCTTCTATCACTTGCGATCTCAGTTTCGAAAACATAGTTGCACCTTTGGCAAGAACAGCTTCCTTGATTGCCGTTTTCTTGCCCACAATAGTAGCGATGGTTGATTGGGGTTTATTATACAACCTGACCAGCTCAGAGACACGCACTCTACTTTCATACTTAGCAATGATCTCTTTCTTCATCTCCATAGTAATTCTCACCCTTTTTGCTGTAGGGTTGGCACTAGAAGCTTTCTTGGGGCCCATGGTGACTTATTTTGCAGGTGCAATCACTACAAAGGCTGTGATAATATGAAATGTTCCAGTTGTTGTATGTTTGGAAGCGACCGTGGTGGCTGGCTGGCTTGTAAACACTGGCACCCAAGGGACAAGTGAGGCGCGCTCAGGCCAAAGTGGACACGTATGGTACGGAACGAATAGCGCTGGTCGGGTTTTTAAGCGCTAGTTGAGGCAAAATATTTGCGTTAAAATGTATCGCTAGTCAGATTTATCGTTAATCGATGCCATCGCTGGTCGCGGGTCCACTGTATTTCCATATGGTATTTATGGCTGTATTCTCATTTTCTTGGTCTCATTTGATAGAATGGAAGATATATTACAGAAATGGAGACAATTTTGATTGATTTCATGATGAAAAGTACCTTGAAATTGAGCTCAAGGTAGTGGAAATGTTCAATTTTTGTTACTGTTCAGTACAAATACGCAGTCACAAATGGGTTGATGTTATTTATACAATTATTAAAATAATGCAGTAGTCTGCATAACAGTAAATCTTCTATTTTTTGTGAGAATAAAAATTCAAAGTGGAAAGCAAAAGAATTTAAGAGGGGCTAATGAACAGAGAAAATGTTATTTTACTGCCAGGAATGTCTGCATTGTTTATTCTGGACCCTATTTTGAAATTGGCGTCTTTTGAAATTTGTGTGAAACTGGCCAAATTGCCAATTTCTAACCACTTTATTGAGTAGTTGAAATCGGTAAATGGGCGTTCTACTGAAGCAGCTATGATTTTAGTCAACTGGAACAATGGAATTGGCCGAAAATAGGGCTTAAAGTGGGTAAAATCGCCAATGCGTAAATATCGCCGAGATCGCTAACTTCGCGAGAGCGTAATTTCATAAGTTTTCCATCAAATTTCGTACTTTTGGTGTCATTACCATGGAGAAAAGATTCACTATTTTTTTTTTTTAATTTTTCGACAAAGAGAGCGAGTTAAGGATCAGGGGTCTTGACACTGAAAGAGTTAATTAAAGGAAAAAAAAAACTGTTTGGTTACAATGGTTTAAACATACAATAAGCCATTTTTAACCTCAAAGGTATACCGTCAATAAATTTAGATGAAAGATGATGAAATATGTGCTGGGTTCTTAGTCTGGCAATCACTGTGGGAAAGAATGGCACTCCCTCCCAGAGAAAAGGCTCTTGCCTTCAGATACAAACTACTCAAACCTCACTACTGCATTTAGGTGATCCAGCATTAGGTGTCTCTCTAGATGACATAAAGATACAGTGGAACCTCAGTTTTTATCATTAATTCACTCCAGAAAGTCTTTCAAAAACCGAATTCAATGAAAACTGAAGCAATATTTCCCATAAAAAATAATGTAAATCCAATTACTCTGTTCCAGACACCCAAAAGTATTTACAAAAAATACATTTTATGAGAATAACTACACTTTTACATACAGAAAACAATGAAAAATAAACATAAAGAACTAATGAAATGGATAAATGAACATTTAACATCGCTTTTATCTTTATTGAAGACTCTTGTTGGCGTATGAAAGACGGCGAGGAGGGGAGATGGAGGAGAGGTTATCTCTACCACTATCACTACCACCTTCTACCACCATCACAACCACTACCACCCTCCACCACAATCACTACCACCCCTCTACCACCATCACAACCACCACCACCCTCCACCACCATCACTACCATCCTCTACCATAATCACTACCACCCTCTAACACCATCACAACCACTACCACCCTCTACCACCATCACTACCACCCTCAACCGACGAGAAACAAAGCCAGACTGACTCAGAACGCGTGGGATGCTTTGAGTGGGTACAGGCGGACACATTCAGTACGACAGACCACCGTCAACTCAACAAAAACCAAGGTGATGAACAAAAACTGGGACAATGTTTTGATGAAAAATTCGTCGAAAACCAAACTCAACGAAAACCAGGGCAAACGAAAACTGAGGTTTGACTGTATTATAAGTTTAAGTAAAGTAGCCAGAGAAGCTTGTCAGTAATGGAGAGAGACTTCAGATAATATTTTTACTGCTGGGCAACCCATGGCTAAAAGGGGTTTAATAATACAGGGTGCCTTTCTTTCTTGGCCTATTTTTCACTGTCAATATTTAACCAGACAAGAACACTATTTGAAAGATACAGCCTATGAAACAAATCCAAAACAAAGTTTATTAAGTAAGAATAACAATGTACAGTACTATCTGTGGATTCTAGATCTGTGGGGCTTCTAAGGTAACCCTACACCCTGACTGAAGTAAGAAATTTCCACTAAAACGTTAAAAACAGAAAAAAATTACACTTGTAAATGTGACATTCAGTCCTAATTCTATGGAGAATTCTGGTGCATACCGTGCTATATTTTTATTAAAAAGTTGTTAATGTAGCTTTTAACTACACTGTTTCTTCCTTTGCTTACAATGACTAAATATAAACTGTTTAAGGAAAGTGGAAATATGGCTGCCACACACAGAATTTCAGTGCTTGTACAACACTTAGCAGCTTATAGTTGATGCTGCCAATAATAGTGTAGAAGACAAAGGTTAATGAAGCTTTTATTGGGATTTTTGTCGAGTAGGCTTTCATCAAAGCATTACAACAAAGCTCTACAGAGTTAAGAGCTGAACTAAAGCTTATACTATAATCTATTCTTTTCTTCACAGGGCTTATAGTTATTGATGGTGGTCTGTTATAAGTGCTTGCACAGGCAGTATAGAAAGACAAACCACACCTAAAAGTTATATACTGAAACTTTTACCTTTGCTTTATGATGCCAAAGAAGCCAGAATGTTCTCCAGCATAAGCGGTGATCCCGATTTCCTCCTCAGTTGACGGTAACTTTTTCTTCTTCGCATCCTTATTGTCCCTGTCTTTAGATTTGTCCTTGTCACCCTCAGCATTCTTTTTATCACCTTTCCTTGAAGGCTTATCATCTCCAGACTCCTTGCCATCTAAATTGATGACTTCTCCTGCAAACTCAATGTCTTTAGTGTCAGCATTATCAGAGTTCAATTCCACCACATCATCTAAGTCCTCTTCATGATCATTTTCCTTCCTTTCTTTTCCATTTTCTAAAACTTCTGAGCTATAATCTCCTGAACCTTCATCCTCCATCTGCAAAGAACACAAACAAATTAAAGAATACTATTTCAAACCTTCAAAAAATTATGTAAGAAATAACAAGAGTTGCAAAAATGGGATAATGGGGTTTCAAGCTTATTGACTACATGACAGATATTTATGGCTGCACAGTAACCTTTTCACCACTAGACAAGAAAACTTTAATCCCTAAAATAGGGATTAAAGTAACTCTCAGCGCACACGCACACGCACACGCACACACACACACACACATGGGGTCAGGAGCTGTGACTCAACCCCTGCAACCACAACTTGGTGAGTACACGCACACGCACGCACACACACAGTATCTGGCAGGAAGGCAACAGCGAGTCATGGAACATGACGAGGTGTCAGAGTGGGTGCCTGTAATGAGCGAGGTTCCACAGGAGTCAGTCCTAGCACCTGTGCTGTTTTTGGTGTACATGTAAATGAATGACATAAAGGAAGGGATAGACTCAGAAGTGTCCCTGTTTGCAGATGATGTGAAGTTAATAAGGAGAATTAAATCGGTCGAGGATCAGGCAAGACTACAAAGAGACCTGGACAGGCTACAAGCCTGGTCCAGCAACTGGCTCTTTGAATTTAACCCTGCCAAATGCAAAGTCATAAAGATCGGGGAGGGGCAAAGAGGACTGCAGACAGAGTAAAGTCTAGGTGGCCAAAGACTGCAAACCTCACTCAAGGAAAAAGATCTTGGGGTGAGTATAATACCGAGCACATCTCCTGAGGCGCACATCAATCAGAAAACTGCAGCATACGGGCGTCTGGCAAACCTAAGAACAGCGCTCCGATACCTCAGTAAGGAATCATTCAAGACTCTGTACATTATGTATGTCAGGCCCATATTGGAGTATGCAGCACCAGTTTAGAATCCACACCTGGTCAAGCATGCCAAGAAATTAGAGAAAGTGCAAAGGTTTGCAACAAGACTAGTCCCAAAGCTACAGGGATTGTCCTGTGAAGAAAGGTTAAGGGAAATCAGCCTGACGACACTGGAGGACAGGAGGGTCAGGGGAGACATGATAACGACATATAAAATACTGCGAGAAACTGACAAGGTGGACAAAGACAGGATGCTCCACAGAAACACACAAAATAAGTGAAGACTCCTATGAGTCAAAGCGATGTTAGGAAGTATTTCTTCAGTCACAGAGTTGTCAAGAAGCGGAATTGCCTAGAAAGCGACGTAGTGGAGGCAGGAACCATTCATAGTTTTAAGACGAGGTCTGATAAAGCTCATGGAGCAGGGAGAGAGAGGACCTAGTAGCAATCAGTGAAGAGGCGCAGTCAAGAGCTATGACTCGACTCCTGCAACCACAAACAGGTGAGCACATGCTCGTGTGCGCGCACACACGCACACACACATGCACACACACACACACACACACACACACACACACACTACAAACCTCACTCAAGGAAAAGGATCTTGAGGTGAGTATAACGCCGGGCACACCTGAGGTGCACATCAACCAAATACAGTGGACCCCCGCATACCGTTGGCCTTACATAACGTTAAATCCGCATACTGATACATTTTATCGCTAAGATTTTGCCTCGCATACCGCTAAAAAACCCGCTCAACGCTGTTCATCCGAGACGCGTCTAATGTGCGGCCTTAGCCAGCCTCACATGTTCCGCCGGTGGCATTGTTTACCATCCAGCCTCCGCGGTAACATCCAAGCATACAATCGGAACATTTCGTATTATTACAGTGTTTTTGGTGATTTTATCTGCAAAGTAAGTGACCATGGGCCCGAAGAAAGCTTCTAGTGCCAACCCTACAGCAATAAGGGTGAGAATTACTATAGAGATGAAGAAAGAGATCATTGATAAGTATGAAAGTGGAGTGCGTGTCTCCGAGCTGGCCAGGTTGTACAGTATAATAAACCCCAGTCAACCATCGCTACTATTGTGGGCAACAAAAAGGCAATCAAGGAAGCTGTTCTTGCCAAAGGTTCAACTGTGTTTTCGAAACAGAGATCGCAAGTGATGGAAGATGTTGAGAGACTCTTATTGGTGTGGATAAATGAAAAACGGATAGCAGGAGATAGCATCTCTCAAGTGATCATATGTGAAAAGGCTAGGAAGTTGCATCAGGATTTAATTAAAAAAATGCCTGCAACTAGTGATGATGCGAGTGAATTTAAGGCCAGCAAAGGTTGGTTTGAGAGATTTAAGAAGCGTAGTGGCATACATAGTGTGATAAGGCATGGTGAGGCTGCCAGTTCGGACCACAAAGCAGCTGAAAAATATGTGCAGGAATTCAAGGAGTACATAGACAGTGAAGGACTGAAACCTAAACAAGTGTTTAATTGTGATGAAACAGGCCTGTTTTGGAAGAAAATGCCAAGCAGGACCTACATTACTCAGGAGGAAAAGGCACTCCCAGGACATAAGCCTATGAAAGACAGGCTTACTCTGTTGATGTGTTCCAATGCTAGTGGTGATTGCAAAGTGAAGCCTTTATTAGTGTATCACTCAGAAACTCCCAGAGCGTTCAGGCAAAAGAATATCCTCAAGGCTAATTTGTGTGTGCTGTGGAGGGCAAACAGTAAGGCATGGGTCACTAGGGACTTTTTCTATGACTGGTTACACCATGCATTTGCCCCCAATGTGAAAGATTACCTAATTGAAAAGAAATTAGACCTTAAGTGCCTCCTGGTGTTAGACAATGCCCCTGGTCATCCTACAGACGTGGCAGAGCGACTTTATGGAGACATGAAGTTCATTAAGGTGAAGTTTTTGCCTCCTAATACCACTCCTCTCCTGCAGCCCATGGACCAGCAGGTTATTGCAAACTTCAAAAAACTGTACACAAAAGCTCTGTTTGAAAGGTGCTTTGTAGTGACCTCAGAAACTCAACTGACTCTAAGAGAGTTTTGTTTGGAGAGATCACTTTAATATCCTCAATTGTGTAAACCTTATAGGTAAGGCTTGGGAGGGAGTGACTAAGAGGACCTTGAACTCTGCTTGGAAGAAACTGTGGCCAGAATGTGTAGACAAAAGGGATTTTGAAGGATTTGAGGCTAACCCTGAGAGGAGTATGCCAGTTGAGGAATCAATTGTGGCATTGGGGAAGTCCTTGGGGTTGGAGGTTAGTGGGGATGATGTGGAAGAGTTGGTGGAGGAGGACAAAGAAGAACTAACCACTGATGAGCTGCTAGATCAACTTCAACAGCAAGAGGCCAGACCTGAGGAAACTGGTTCAGAGGAGGGGAGAGAGAAATTGAAGAAGTTGCCTACTACAAAGATTAAGGAAATCTGTGCAATGTGGCTGAAAGTGCAAACCTTTATGGATGAAAATCACCCTCACACAGCTATTGCAAGCCGTGCTGGTGACTATTACACTGACAATGTTGTGAAACACTTTAGGGAAGTCATAAAGGAACGAGAGGTACAGGCCACTATGGACAGATATGTTGTGCGACAGAAGTCCAGTGACTCTGAAGCTGGTCCTAGTGGCATTAAAAGAAGAAGGGAAGTAACCCCAGAAAAGGACTTGACACCTCAAGTCTTAATGGAAGGGGATTCCCCTTCTAAACATTAAGACTCTCTCCTCCTCCCATCCCATCAATCATCACCAGATCTTCAATAAAGGTAAGTGTCATGTAATTGTGCATGCCTTTTTCAGTTTGTGTGTATTAAAATTAATATTTCATGTGGTAAAAATGTTTTTTTTTTCATACTTTGGGGTGTCTTGCACGGATTAATTTGATTTCCATTATTTCTTATGGGGAAAATTCATCCGCATAACGATAATTTCGCATAACAATGAGCTCTCGTGAACGGATTAATATCGTTATGCGGGGGTCCACTGTAACTCCAGCAGCATACGGGCGACTGGCAAACCTGAGAACAGCATTCCAACATCTTAATAAGGGGTCATTCTGGACCCTGTACACTGTGTACATTAGGCCTATACTGGAGTATTCAGTGCAAGTTTGGAACCCTCATCTAGCCAAGCATGTAAGGAGACTAGAGAAATTGGAAACATTTGCAACAAGACTAGTCCCAGAGCTAAGAGGTATGTCCTACGAGGAGAGGTTAAGGGAAATCAACCTGACGACACTGGAGGACAGGAGAGATAGGGGGGACATGATAACGACATACAAAATACTGAGAGGAATTGACAAGGTGGACAAAGACAGGATGTTCCAGAGATTGGACACAGTAACAAGGGGACACAGTTGGAAGCTGAAGACACAGATGAATCACAGGGATGTTAGGAAGCATTTCTTCAGCCACAGAGTAGTCAGTAAGTGGAATAGTTTGGGAAGCGATGTAGTGGAGGCAGGATCCATACATAGCTTTAAGCAGAGGTATGATAAAGCTCACGGCTCAGGGAGAGTGACCTAGTAGCGATCAGTGAAGAGGCGGGGCCAGGAGCTCGGACTCGACCCCCGCAACCTCAACTAGGTGAGTACAACTAGGTGAGTTGAGTACACACACACACACACACGCCAGTTGTAGAGGCTGGGCCAGGAGCTGAGTCTCGACCCCTGCAACCACAATTAGGTGAGTACACACACACACACACACACACACACACACACACACACACACAAAGGTTTGCAACAAGCCTAGTCCCAGAGCTAAGAGGTATGTCCTACGAGGAGAGGTTAAGGGAAATCAACCTGACGACACTGGAGGACAGGAGAGATAGGGGGGACATGATAACGACTTACAAAATACTGAGAGGAATTGACAAGGTGGACAAAGACAGGATGTTCCAGAGACTGGACACAGCAACACGGGGACACAGTTGGAAGCTGAAGACACAGATGAATCACAGGGATGTTAGGAAGTATTTCTTCAGCCACAGAGTAGTCAGGAAGTGGAATAGTTTAGGAAGCGATGTAGTGGAGGCAGGATCCATACATAGCTTTAAGCAGAGGTACGATAAAGCTCATGGTTCAGGGAGAGTAACCTAGTAGCGACCAGTGAAGAGGCAGGGCCAGGAGCTTGGACTCGACCCCTGCAACCTCAAC